CTCTCTCTCTCTCTCTCTCTCTCTCTCTCTCTCTCTCCCCCTCTCTCTTGGCCTACCCCACTCCAGAACACTCCCATGAGCCCTGCCTTGCCCCTGAGCTGGCTGGCCCCAGGCCCTGTCCCTTGGGGATACTGATACAAATCCACACGCTTTTGTCAAAAGCAAACAAACAACTCTGTGTAGCAGGCACACTCACTTGGAAACAAGGCAGCCAGACCCATCTTTGTGTTTGTTTTTCCAGGGATTGACGTGTATAGAACATTCCTCAGGACCAGCTCCCTTGAGCACGCAGGAAACCCTCTGGCTATCTCAAGCCAGCAGCCAAACGCTAGGCCTAGAGTCTCCACACAAGCTCCAAGGCCAGGGCTTTGTTATTCCTGTCAAAAAGGCTAATTCTTATGTGGTTGACCACTGAGGCTCAAGAGTTCTATCAACTGGACATGAAGGACAGTTCTGCCCAAGTGCTTCCTGGGTACAACTGGTGCTAGGCACTGGTCACCCATGGTCCCCTCCAAACTCTACACCTACCCCATGAGAATTGTGCCCACATTTTAGAGGAAGAAACTTGAGGCTGGCAGGTGTATGTTCCTCTGCTTGGAAGCTTCCTTCTCTGTGGCCCTGAACAGTCCAGTAAAGTAGGCAACAGAGGCTCTATCCTGGGGAAACTGAGGCCCAGAGCAGAAGGTGACTTGATTCAAGTACACATTGGGAACTGTGACTCCCAGACTCCCACACTTATTCCACACTGGATGCCTGGGGTGTGACAGGATTTGGTTGGCATTTAGTCCGTGAGTTAACAGGATAGAAAAGAAAGGGCTGCCCACTTTACGTGCAGGCCTCACATCTGCCACCTCAGTGACCTTCCCTCTCCTCAAGAAACAGACTCTTGCCACTGAAGAAATCAAGGTCCCGGGAGGCAAAGTGGCTTTCCTCAGTTTTCTGATCAAGTGACAGAGCCAGTCAGAATCAGAGCCCAAGCCTGATCCTCTCCATTCTGTCCTGAAAACTCCCTGACTGTGTAAAGGGCCTTATGTTTTCTGACACCAGTGATGACTGGGTATATGGCTAGGTCCATCGAAAATAAGGCCCCCGAGTGAGGCCTGACCCAATGGGACTCTGAGGGCTGGGGGCCTGGATCAACAGTCTAGCAACAGGGAGCTGCCCATGTGGCCTAGGCAGGAAGCTGAGTATGAGTGGGACGATGGGCCCACAAGCCTGTCAAGAGACTTTTTGGGTAGATGAAAGCCTGGGATAACCTTGTGGGCTCATGTAAACCTGACCTGGCCTAGCTCTCAGGAGCTCTGTTCACACACCAAGTGGAGCCAGAGGGCTGTTGCTTTGGGGGTAGGGGCCAAGAAATGCAGTAAGGACAAAAGGGAAGATGGGACAAGTCAGGAGAGGGAACTGGCGAGGCTATGGGGACATTCCCTAGGCCTGAGAGGGGAGGAGAGGGACAAAGGCCTAGCTGTTGGGCTGCACTGTAGCCTTGCAAGACAAAATCGGGGGTCCTGGGGCATAAACTACATCTCTCAGGACTAAGACCAGAGTGTCAAGGGACCCAAGGCTGAGAAGGTGACCAAGGGGCAAGGGACTTAGTAGACCCATAGCCCACTTCAGGTCTCAGTCAGTCTTTGACAGTGAAGTCTGCAAGGAAAAAGGGCTGGGTTTGTCGCCTCCACTCAGCCCTGCCCTTTCATGATTCTTCAGTAAAAAGCACTGAGCTTGGAATCAGAGAATCAGCTGTACATTTGGTTCTGCTACTTGCTTGCCTTAACACAGATACGACTCAACCTGGGTCTCAGCTTCACTTGAACTGGGGCAGATGTGTGACACTATAGGACAGGAAGACATGAAAAAGGCATAGCCCAGGGCCAGGCCTGGTTCCATTAGTGTCCTATGATTTTTCTGCCCATTTTTCAGAACCCGATTTCTCAGCTGTCAAAGAAAGGGATTAGAGGGCTGTGTGTCCTTTTAGCTTTGACCTCTGCTGACCTCCAACTCAGCATAGAAAGATCAGTCAACCTCCTGGACCTCTGCTTCCTCATCTGTGTACTGAATAAATTAGGCTGGACAGCCACCCAGACCTTCTAGCCTCATTCCAGCTCCTCAAACATCTGTAGAAGAGCTGAGAAACAAGCTGAGGTCCAGACATGGGTTCTGGCTGCAGATACTAGTCTTTGTTGCACACAGGGCTAGGGTCCTCCCAGAGCACATGCCATTTCATACAGCACCTACAAGACTGGCATGAAGCCTGGGTCTTTCAGGTCTGCTAGGGTCTAGCCATCAATCATGAATAGGCACACAACCCCTGAGTCTACTTTCCTCTTCTGTCAAAAGGATTAGGGACCTTGGTGGCAAGGTCAGCAGTGTTAACTGCTGAGGTCTCTAAGAGTACAGGTTTTAGGACAGAACCTGTAGGTCTCTACTACCTTATACAATGAAGGAGAGGGAGGTGGAAAGAGACAGAGCACTAGGAAGCTGGTCTGCTGTGGCAAGACGCTGGACTCATGCACTGCTGCTTCAACTCCTCAAAGACAAAAATTGCCAAGGGGGGTTAGGAAAGGCAAGGAGTGGTCTGCTCAGAGTGCAGATGTGGCTGGCTTATCTAGGAGAGGATGTGGGGTGAGAACACTCACTTTCCCGTCAGGACACATAAGGACTCTGTGCCTAGGCTGGTACCCATGGGTGAAATCTGGGGAATCTCAACTGGAGGCCCCTGTTGTGTTTGCCTCCCCTCGCCCTACATGGGACATGTGGTTATAGTCAAGTTATCTGTGTTTGTCACAACTGGAAGATGATGGAAAAAATCTCCTACTTACTCAGGAGGGAGCCACGGAAACTATTATTGTCCTATAATGCATAGAACAACCCCCAAACCTCTGTCAGAATTACATGCCTTATGTTTAGAGCCCAAGGGAATAGGCAGGGGTTCTACCTAGATAGTGAGTGGGATCTGTGTGCAGCCCTATCCCACCCCGGCCTCCACACTCAGGCCTACCTACCGTGTCAAGGTGGGTGCGCTGGTGCTTGGCACGGTCACTGGAGTTGCTGAAGGCCTTCTGGCAGCCCGGGTGCTGGCACAGGTATGGCTTCTCGCCTGTGTGGCTCCGCAGGTGGATCTTGAGGTTCTCCAGTCGTGAGAAGGCTTTGCTGCAGCCTTCAAACTGCAGGAGAGGCTGATGAGGGGTGTCCTCAGCCCTGAGGGCCTACCCACCTAGAAATAGCACTTCCAGGCCTGCCTAGCCCAGCCCTGGCTGTCTCACTGTCTTCTCCAAGCTTCCAAGAGCACCCGCTAACTCCCAGGGAATTGCTCAGGGCCCAGAAAAGTACCCTGACTTAAAAATGGGCTTCTAGGGCTGGAGAAAGTGATCTTTCCACTTCTTGTCCTGAGAGTGACACCCCACATCCTGCCAGCTGTGCACCCTAAATCTGGAGGCCAAGGCAGGCTGTGCCTGAGCACAGAAGTACAGAGGTGGGAGCCCTATCTAACTTGGAGGGACTCCATCCCAGGAAAGCTTTGTTATGCCTTGAATACTTTGTGTTATATTTTCTCCTCTTCAAATCAGAGGCTGTAGCCAACCCATCAGGGCTGATGGGAAGGCCCCAAGAAGGACACTGAGAGGCAAGGGATCTCATCCTATATACCTGTTGTGAGAACAACAATCATATATGCACACTGAAGTGTTTCTGAGTCATGATCTGGCCCTTTAGCTGTCATATGCCCACCATCTAGTATGCCCATGTTGGGAAGTGTGCATGTGGCACAACTGTTATGTTCCTGGCAGAAGACATGAGTCACAGTGGAGAGAAGAAGAAGCAGTGTAAGGCCTCTATCCACCCAGACCTTCTTCATGTGGCCCCAGCTGCCCATCTCTGCAGCCTCTGCCCAGCTTGGACTCCTTTCCCACATTCTTTCACATTTAACTGTTCCCTGCACTGGTGCCCATATAGCTTCCCTTGACATGGAAATGGAATCTTGTAGTTCCCTACTTAAAGGCCTGTTGCTGAGCATTCTACCCCTTGCACTCTCCCCACCTGCCTCTTTGTGCCTAGCCCCCTCTACCAAAGAAAGTTAGCCAGGCAGTTTCCAGTCGTCATTCATCATGCAAGTCACTTAGCAAGAAATGTCATCTCTACTGACCATCCAGCAAACTGCTCAGTCTCAAAGACCAAACTCAGAGTCCGGCTAGAGGAGACAGCAGACTCCAACCTTTGGTGTGACTGACTGCCCATCCTATTGTCTGTCCATGGCAGCTGGGCTGAGGTTCTAGCTATGTGTATTTCAGGGTGTGGTGAGGGTCAACGGTAGCTGGGTGTTAAACAACAAAACTCTGAAGTATGTGGCACCAAGGTCCTCATCTCCAAAACCTTTGAAAAGTGAACTACCCAAGGTCACGGTATAGCAAAGACAGGGTACAGGCCAAGTGTGATGGTCAAAAAAGCTCAGCTGGTCATGCTATGCTTACTGACTTCCAGGGACAGGTAGAAGTGACCTTTGAAGAGAAAGGGACTGAACTTGGCTTTGTCCCCCAAGTCCAGGGCTGACATGCCAGCCAGGGGCACCTAATCCAAATCAGGACCTATCTAACTCCAGCCCTCAATACCAAGAAATCCTGGGCTGCTAGCAGCAGACAACTGGAGACAAAGTGGGGACAGTTGTGTACCCTGAGGGTTATGGTTCCAAAGTAACTCTTCTACACCTTCCTTCTGGATCACCCTCTTCCTCTTCTCTGAGATGGCACCTGCTCTTTATGCCTTTGCCAACTTTAAGGTTCAGTATCTGCTAGCAAGTTTGAGGGTATGTCTAGAGAGGACTGTGGGCAGAGGTTAGACCCTGTGGTCCATTCACCTGGCTTATCACCTTAGTTGTAGGGATTGGCAGCCTGACGCAGAAAGGCTTTGCATGCCTGGTAATATCTGGCTTAGGGTCATTCATTTGGACGAATCAGCTCCAACCTGGACTGAGTCAAGATGTCAAGAGAACCCAACATAAGTCCTGCCCTCTAGAGGTGCAGAGACTGCAGGGAAGGTACACACCATCATCAAACATCACTGTTTAGCTGTTAAGAAGGAACCACAGGCTATGGCTACATGAAATGAGCACTTCAGTCAGCCTGGAGTCTGTATATCTCAGAGGGAGTGATGACTGTCGTAAGGATAGCAAGACAGGAAGGAGTGAGACAGACAGCAGCCTATCATGCCAGCACCCATGCATTCACTCTGCTCCTGGGAGCCCAGAATCAGGATGGCACAGCCAAGACAAACAGTGGTCTAATGGGATGGCAGGTCATGGAGGGCAGGTTGAGGCACTAGCACATGCAATGGGGTACAGATTGTCTGTGGAGCTCCTCTGCACGTGTGTGGACTGCACACTCAAGGATCCAGCAGAGAGGGGAGAGCCATGTTTCAGTGACTTACATGCCAGGCTCATGAGTTTATAGTCTACATCAACGATGGTGGAGGCCATAGATGTGCACTCTGAGAATTGGAACAGGGTCAAATTTGGCGGCGGGGAGGGACAGAGTCAGATAGGGGCTTTGGGAATTAGAAAGGACAGGGTCATATATGTGCTGCAAGATGCCTTTGGCTAAGGGTTATGGGCAAGACTACGAGAGGAGACAGAGAAGGCAGTTGCTTCAGTTACATATGAGGACCACTGAGGCCTACAGAGGGAAGAGGGAGTAGATGGAGCACAGGCCAGGATAGAACCATCTAGACACATGAGGACAAAGACTCAAGAGACAGTGACCCCTTGACTACTCAGAGGATAAGAATATGGGCCTCAGTTTGCTGCCAGCCCAATGTAAGCCCTTGCAGCTGTGTTTCCATAGGATCCTGTGCTGGAGAGCTTTAGTGTCAACTTGACACACCTGGGTTGAAGGAGCCTCAATTGGAGAATTGCCTTCATTGTACTGGCCTGTGGCCATGTCTGTGGGGTACCTTCTTGATTGTTGAGTGATGTGGGAGGGCCCAGCCCAGTGTGGATGGTGCCACCCCTGGGCAGGAAGGCCTGAGTTGCAAAAGAAAGCAGGCTGAGTAGGGGCCAGGAGAGCAAGCCAGTAAGCAGCATTCTTCCATGGCCTGTGCTCCAGCTCCTGCCTCCAGGTTCCTGCCCTGAGTTCCTACCTTGGGCTCCCTGATGGACTGTGATTTGGGATATGTATGCTAAATAAACCCTTTCCTCCCCAAGTTGGTATTGGTCAGAGTGTTTTGTCACAGCAATGGACAAACAAACTAGGACAGATCCTTTTCCTACTTCTAGACACAGGGCCTGTCCCGGTATCAGAACAAGAAGGAAATCCTGGGTAGGAAACAGCAGATGGTCAGTTGCTCCCATGCTCACCTGCAAAAGGCCCTGTGTGACGGAGGAAGCTGGGCAGGAGTGGGGCTTCTCAGCATCTGTCTCATCTCTTTGCTACTTACTGGCTGGTGTAGGGGGAGGTGGCCAATAACTCCTCTTAGCTTTGTGATTTTCCTCGCTTTGGGAGGGTCTATCAGACTCTGGGGATCAGTCTATCTCTTCCCCTCCAGAGGTGTACAGATCCCTGTCCAGGCCAAACTTCATCTCAAAACACCTGTTCCCCCACCACACCTTTGTTTAGACTGACTGTACTTCTCATGGGAAACCTTCTCTTCCTACTCTGATAATTTAACGAATATGTTTTTCAAAAGTCCAGAATCTTCCAACATGGCCGCAAATGTCTCTCCCACCCCATATATCCCACTCATCAGCTGTGAGGCTATGTCTGTCTCTGAACCTGCCAAGAAGCTCCATCCTACAGGACTTTGCTCAATCTATTCATAATGCCTGGAAGGATCTTTCCTTCCTTTACCCCTTAGTAAACATATTCCCCTGTTGCTTAAGCACCACCTCCTAAGAAGAGTCTTCTGACCCTTTTGCAGTACCCTTTGAGCGTGTGGTGGAAGGGTTTCCCCTGCACAATCCTACTTTCTCTCCACATATCAGAGCTGGGCAGTCAAGTCCCCTAAGGATGGTACTGCTATCTCCGGCATAGGACAAGGAATGGGTAAGGAGCATGTTCTTTCCCCTGGGTGTGGGAACATGGGTTGCTAGGCACAGGGGTCATCCAATCATGCCCATCAATGTATGCCAGTACATGTGTACATTACACTGATGCCCAAGCTGTATCTAGGTCCATCAGTCCAGCCTTGCCCTGCTCTCTGCCCTGGAATGTGGGATACCCCAATGGGAGTGACTCACTCCATGGGCACCCAGAGAAAGGAGCAGGTAGAAAAAGGGCCCTGCTTTATCAAGACAGATCTAGAATGAAGATGCTGCATGGAACTTGGCAGAACCACAATTCCATCAAGACCAACATCCAGATCTGCCCAGCCCTTGCAAGCAATGTGGCTATCTCTATTTGACAACTGTACAGATGCGGTCAGAGCCAGAGAGGAGAGACAGGAGTGACACTTGCTGTGTGCCTGGCTCTGCTGGGCCTGGTGCCATTGAAGACATGTCCTCTTTTTCTCCATGGCTCTCTGGGTACATATGACTGTGCCTACTGTCAGATGAGGAGCTCAGGTTTTGTGGTAGTAGACATAGTGGTTATAGACACGGCCTCTGCTGCAGGCTAGCCTGGTAACTGGTGGCTGCTCACTTACTGAGTGATCCCAGGTGAATCACTTGAACTCTGTGGTCCTCAGTTTCCTCGTCCACAACAGGGTGAGCTCTACTAACCATGTAGGGTATTGTGAGGCCTAAATGAATTAACACATAGCAAATGCTTGTCTTTGTGGTTGTTTCTTAAGGTTCTAGAGCAGATTAAGTGGCAGTCTGCCAGGGGTGGCAGTCTCTGGCTGGCTGCCCCTCTATAGAGTTATGTGTGTACAGGTGTGTGCACATCCTCCCTCTTCCCTCTGCCTTCTTTCCTCCCCTAGCTTCCCAACCCCTGCATCCCCATATCTGGTTAACCTCATCACACTCTACCTTCCAACAACAAAGGCACAAATGTCTTGAAGTTTCACATTGAGCAGAAGATGCTCAGAGCCCTAAGAAGGGGCTTCTAGTTACAGAGCTGGGGAATAACCAAAGCCTTTCTAGAGAGGCTGAGCCCTGATGCCTGGGAAGAATTTTGGGACAACCAGGGTGCCAGTGTTTCAGGAGGAGGGCAAGGCATGAGCACAGGTGGTAAGTGCTGCA